ACACAGCACAATGGTGTTCTCTAGTCATAGCTGGGGACAATATTGACGCCATGGGATGGATGCCATGGACTAACCCATCTGATGGGTCAAGCCAACCAGCCAAGGTAGGTCATTCGTGCGCGATGCTGCGTCTTGCGTGTGATGAGCTGCACCCGCACGAGCGAGCCCGCTCGTTCGCGCAGCTCACAGCCATCCCCATAATTTGGAACTATAAATAATGGGAAGTTCAAAATGGTGACCGCTGCAGCCAAAGAGATATAGAAGTAAAAAAAATGCCAAAATCTCTGCAATAAGTCTTTTACACGCTTACCACATGGAATGAGACTTGCATAGTAAACACGATTTTTCCAGATTGCACTGCTTCAACCGTACGAGTACAGAACGATCGACCATCTCGCACTCGCCGTACATGATACTGTACTGGTAAAGAAGTATCTACTGTAAAACAGTGAATGAAAATGGTTTTGTCACGTAGTCAGCTATATTGCTCGCGATTTCGTTTAGACTGCTGCCTTTTTTTGATTTAACACACGCTGCTAGATAATTGTTGAAAGATTGATGGATGTTCATTTGGACCCTTTTTGGAGAAATAGTTCTGATCCGTTTACAGCGCAGTTTGACGACGGGGGGGCATTTTGTACTATCATTGCTTCCTTAGTTCCGGTTTACATGTCTCACTCTGGCGAAACCTGTGAACTCTTGTGAAGCTGGAACAAGGTCGTCAAGCCATCATGTTAAACCTGTCAACTCGAGAAGAGGCTGTCTAGATAGGTCGACACGTCGATGGGAAGTAGCAAAAGTGCAAAATGCCCCCCCCCCTCGTCAAACTGCGCCTCCGTTTACATGTTGTACTCACCAGTAAGTATGAAAAATGAGTGTATGGCATGTGGCTTCAACGTGTCGTCGACCGTGTTTTCAGCGGCTGCCAATGCTTGGAATAGACCTCCCATAAGCAGGCTCTCGACGATCCTATGTCGGAAGGTGAACTAAAATTTGATGTCCTGAAAACGCAACTAAACCAAGTACCAGTAATACTCGGTGAGGTGGGGAGGTGAGATACCGGCCCTGCCGCTGCAGTATTGCAACTGCTTTCTTACAATGATAATTGTACTTCAGTTGCAACTGCTTACTTACAATGATAATTGTACTTCAGTTGAATATTACAACTAGGAGGTACGGTGGGAAGGAGGTCGTAAAAGAGGAGGAAATTTTGTGCGGACGGCTTTTTGCGGAATTACCTTCCACAACGAGACGATTCCTTTGAGAGAGAAGAGAGAGAGTTGTGTTGGAGTTTTGCTCCTAAAATGTCGTTTTTTCGTCTGCCAGGGGGGGGGGGGGGGGGGGGGGGGGGGGGGGCGGGGGGAGGGGGGGGGGGGGGGGGGGGGGGGCGCGTCAACTACACCCCCTCCGTGAAAAAAATTCGGAAAATTACTAAAGATGGTGAGTATGTTGCGAAGGGGGGGGGGGCGTTATCTAGCAAAAATTTGCATAACCGGCGCATAGATGCGCCCTGATCAACACGAGTTGAGTGAGAGAGACTAGTTGGTGAAGTAGTTGTCCGATTACAGCCAATTCTGCACACGTAGTATCTCGAAGCAACGAAGCTAGGTTCACGCGTCGTTCTTTTGATTTTCAAGATTTAATGATGAAATGTGCATAATCCGACGGTATTGCTGCCAGAAGATTTAACTAAAGGGCCTGGGAGAGGCTCTGTGTTGGTGACCACTTTACCAATTCCAGAACTTCTACCGCCTAGGCTTTTTCCGCCTTTTTATGATGTAAGAAAAATGTCTCCGGCGTACTTTATAATCTTCACTAAAACGTCCCGCGGTGCAATTCGGCTTGGTGGGCGCATTTTCCTGGTTCTCTTGGATACTGCTAATGCCTTTTATGAAAACCTGTGAATTCCTGTAAATCCATGCAACAGCAGAAGCTTCGTTTACACTTGACACAATTCTGCAGGTCTGATCAGGGTGAAACGTGTAATTTCACACGAGCTAAGAAAAGAAAAGCGAAAGTGCAAAATGCCCCTCCTAAGCCGAACAGCGCGCGCTCCGATTCATCGCGAAGGACTCAAATGTATTCTTTGGTCCTTCTGGAATTCAATGAATGCATGGAGAACAATCTCTGCACCGGCTGTCACAATATTGTTGACGGCCAATTCATCAGCGAAAAAAGAAAAATATCAACCAAATAAATGAAACAGTTTCATACCTGAATACATCCTGTTCGACTTGTTCAAAGACGAAATAACGCTTTGCATATGTTTCGAAGTCTTTCGACATTTGAGGTATTGGTGGGGTCTTTCGATGGACGAATCTCGCTTGGGTCAGAGGTCGTGATAAGGTGATAGTACAATCAGCGGTGACGAGTTTGGAGAGTTGACGCACCAGTGACGATTGCATTGTCTATCTGCAGCGTGTTTAGGGGTGGTAAACGGGCAGAATGTGGCCCTCCTCGGCCCACACGCTCTTTCTACTCCTAGATGAATGCAATTAGCACTAGAGTGTAGCCCGCGATTCAAACATCACTGATCTTTTTCGATCATTATGACAAATACGCGAAGAATAGAAGAAGCTAAAATATGAACAGCTGACGATGTGGAATCCGTACGATAAAGCAGGTAGATGTCGAAAGTGACGTGGAGTTCGGTGTGTTGTGTGTATTGCTTTACAAAGGCATTTTGTTTCACGCCATTTTTTTGACTGTTAGATTACGGTGAGGCATGCACAACGCAAGCACAAACCCCCGAAACTGCATATTGTAGACACTAGCGTTCAGTCCCAAGCCTAAGGTCGTAATGTGACTTTCCAACGAAGAAAAAAAAATCCAAAAAACCCCTTGGAGAATACCTTGAATAGGGAGTCTGTGGCAGCCCCGCTGTTCTAGTTCTCCGGGCCTGCTCGTTTTATGCCAGCAAAGCGGTACCCTACCGTCCTTGGGTCGCTAATCGTTTCTTCTCGTCATACAGTGCTAATACAGTGAGAAGAAAACTGTAAAAAATGAACTCGACAGATAACAGCTTCAGTGGGCGGGTCAACTAGGAAGGCGTCAGAACTGCCACTTATGAGGGCCACAGCGCCTTCGTTACTTACTGTGAAGCCGCGGAAGCGGGATAATCTCAGAGAATGAGCTACAGACTGCTTGTGAGGAAGCACGCCTACGGAGTGGTTCAGCGCAGGTAACGTCTTGCTGGAGAGACTGCGGTAATGAAAAATGTCGCCCAAACTTTTCACGGGTCAACTTGACCTGCAGTATGTAAGAGGAGAACGCTTGGTTGGAAGATCGCCTCAACTCAGATAGTGAATTGGCGAGTGAAAAGGAGTGAGTACAGTTCCGTTCACTTTTATTACCTTTTTTTTTGAAATAGGTCGGGTTTCTGAGCACCTTACAACGACAAGGTCATTTTACTGCTGCCGCATAAGTGTAGTCAAAAGTGGCTGATTCAGCTATATTGGCTCCGCGTTCATATCTTGCGACCATAAAGAAATGCAGAAATAAAGAAACTGCGGAATCTGCGGAAATGACTCAAAAGCATTATATACATATCGGTAAGAAATGCAGAAATGCGGAAACTGCAGAAGTGCGGAAAGTGCAGAAATGACGAAAAGCATTACATACGTATCGATTTGAAGAAATGCGAAATGCGGAAACTGTAGAAGTGCGGAATCTGCAGAAATAACGAAAAGCAACCGATACATATCGATTTTCCGCCTTTCGTCATTTCTGCAGATTCCGCACTTTCCGGGCTAATGTCGTTTGGACTGCAGAAATTTCGGCTCCGAAGCTCATTTTCAAATTGCCTAAGCCACCCCCCCCTCGTTGCAGCCATCCAAGCGTGACCTCTCAATTTGAGTCTAATCCAGTGATCTGTACTGCTGGGTTGCGCCAGACTCTGCGATATTGGCGTGATCAATGTCATAGCTTAGATGATGATGAATGTGCAGAGAGAAGAGCAAAAACAAATGCGAAGGCAATGCACATTGGGCAGTTACAAAAAAACGATTCGCTGAGACAGAGTATGATGGACTGCACTAAGGAGAGACGCCGGGGTAGAATGAGCCGTTGTTTATGCGTGGAAACGTTGGAAGCTTAAGGAACGCAAGTGGCAGACTCGAAGAGCGCTGAAGCAGAAAGTTGGTAGCCATTGAGAAATGGTTCGTTCCTGGCGTTCGCACTGACTGTTTCATACCGAGGGACAACTGCCAACTTTCTAAAAGTATATTACGCCGTCCTCCAAAATAAGTGACATTTTTTTTTTGTATCTCGGTGTCAAATCATTCCGCGGCTATTTCGGATCCTAGTTATGTGTATATGGCAGTGTGTCTGGTAGTGAAGCATCCGTACAGTTAGTTGCCTTTACTGCTCCTGCGCAGTTGCTATTCGTATATTCCAAAACGCTAGATGAATTTCACCATTTCAAGAAGTGTCAGCACTTCGCTGTATGAATTTCCAAACCCAGTCGACACACCTGGTTGAAGCCACAGCGCATTTCTAAACTGAAGTTAGGTCCTGATGCTAACTTCGTCGGGATACGGCGAGGGAATAGCAACTGTGAAACCAGGAAGGGCAGAACCAGTCATGCGTGCCCATAAATACAGTTAGAAACATGTTACTGTGCTTGTGGTGAAGCCATTCAATGGGGTTTACGCGCAGGGGTTTGCTTCCTTCGTTCGTTGTGTCGTGACCAGCGAGTTCTCCGGTAATTGATGGGCAAGGAAAGGATGAAGCCTTCAGTCATTTAATTCCACATTTCCAGCAAAGTTTGCCTACTCCATCACTGCTCAAAGCAACACATTTCAAAAATGACAGTATTCGAGATCTTGAAGCTTAGCTGGTGAGTTCCATCACAGTCTTCGTGTAGTCCTGACCTAGTTCTTTCTGACTGCTATCTAGAACTAATCCCCTGCGGCCATGTTCTGAGTGAAAAATTACGAATTTTCAAAAGCCACGCTCAAAAATGACACGTGCCTTCTTGACAGGGAGTGAAAAAGCGTTCTGAAGTAAGGCAACCACGTATTTGCTTGGTGTTGAGCAAGCTGCGGATGCAAGTAATATATAGATTGTTAATCGAGAACTGCTTCTCACTGGAATAAATCTGACTCGATTAACTCGAAAACAAGTTGCGAAAAATGCAACGAACTTTTGAGACAACCTAATATAAACGCTGCGGATACTTCACAGGCTAAGCTATCGGCTCCCATGTATGTCTTACAATTGTGACTCCGCTCCCACTCACTCGGAGAGCACGCATTTAATGAGATTCTCACGTTAGAGAGAGAGAGATACGTGCTTTTCCCGAGGTTTCTGATAAGATCACATTGTTGTCAATTTTTTTTCCGTTGACCGTTCAGGAACAAGTTTCCTTGTGTCGTTGTCGACGCCTCTGACGATCATCTGAAACGGTTTTTCACTCTCAGACCAGCGCTCTGAAGATTGCTATTGATTTTATCCCTACCTGGGTGCTCTGGTAATCTATCATCAAAGTCCTACAGCAACCCTTCGGACGGTAAGACCCAGGACTTCCTGGAAACCATATCTTCCCTTGTTTTATGGTACTATTTAATTTCCCACGCCTCCGCATTTTAATAATAATAATAGGTCATTTGCGTTCATAATGGAGAGCCTGTGAGAGCTATACAAAATCGATTTTTTTTCAAGCTGTGGACTATTTTGGCCAAGTCTTCCCGTGAGAAAAACGAATTTAATCCGCTTATATTAGAGCTTCTTTAATTTTCCTTGAGAGATTCAAACGAGTCGGCAAGTAAGACTCGCTCTCCAAACTTCCGAAAAAGCTTGCGGTTAGTGAGACTCGATCCTTTGAGCTGCATCAGTTGGTCTACGGAAAACGTGATTTCAAGGGCAGTTGGCACGATGCCTGGGGCGGGCGGTTACTGCCAACGTCATTGACGGAAGGACTGCGGGAGAGCGTTTGGCCACACCCCATTCAGCCCTTCCACCAATGACGTTGGCAGTAACCCCGCCCCAAAAATGGTGCCCACCGCCTTTATCTCTTTGAATGCGTCGATTTTCTGTTTTTCTCTGCTCTTTCTCGTCCACATGGCACTCTGTGGTCATCATGACGCCACACATTCCAACTTTTCACAAGCTCAGTTGCTCATTCACCACAGAGTCCCCTCCCTTTGAAACACCCCATCGGCACGCTACATATTTCTCGCACCTTCCGATGCTTTGGCAGCCACGGTCCCCTATCTGTCTGCGTGACAAGTTTCGCAACAGGACCGTGCCCAAAAGTTCAATAGGTCATGTAATCCATCATGAATTCTGCTCTCGTCTGCACTCTCTCATCTCGTTGCGTTCTATAACAGTTGTGACATCTTGACCACATTTTTCGTCCCCCTTTCAAAAACTTCTTCTCAAAACTGGAATCCTTTATGAAATCGTGCTAGCTATATTCTTTCACCATCGGTAATATCACTTTTCTTGATGTTAACGTAGCTCGACAGGAAGGGCATTTGGCCGCGTCTGTGTGCTTTCCCAAAAAAATTTTGAGCTCAGAGCGCTGACGACCAGAGTTGCCGGTAAAGGGAGGGACACAGAGGTCTACTACCCCCCCCCCCTCTACCCAATGATGTTAGCGCCTCTTTTTTCCCATTGGTTGTCGAGTCACTCCAACATGCCGCACGAGTGCCGCTCCTCGCTGTGGATCTCCAACGGTAGTCGGGCATTGGGATACCCGGTATGGGTCTTATTTTGTCGCTGACGGGAGGGGGTAGTACTTGGCATAAGAAAGAACTTTCTGATTGTCGATCATTACCGTTTAAGCCCCCCCCCTAGCTGGCAAAGCAACCATTTCAACGCTTGATCGGAGACGTCTACCCTCCCCCCCCCCCTTCCCCCGCGCTCTGCAACCAAAACCCGGGCATTTTTGGGAAATTTGATAAGATTGTTGCGGGATTTTGCGTCGGTTGCAGCGAGGGGCTCATACCTGGCGAAGAAGAACCTATGGGAGGGTCGCCGCGCTCAGCGAGCCATTCCCCACGCCAGAAACGTGCCCCTCGGCATGAGGTTATCGCTTACACTACCTTAACCTGCAAAAAGGAGTACCGCTTCGTGACCTTGCTAACAATTACGCGAAAGCATTCTAATTCAAGTCTCGACTGGCCAGCAATCTGTTGGCTTGGCCGAAAACTGAGTCAGACCTTACCTCCTGGACGTCCCGTTTTGACTTCCCCAGCGACACACAGTAATCGGCGCCTGGTCACATAATAAAACAGCCGCACTGACTCTCGTCAGGCCTCTTGAATCTTCCGATCCTGTGGCAATTACTGTAACGTCTCGACCCATCGAACATCCAATAAGGGTCAACGTTCCTTTCGAACTTCTTTCAGATGGTTCTAGTCGGGAAACTTTAACCCACTCTTCGAAGCGTGTCCCATGCGGG